GATATCCACCAAAGAGTGCCTGTTGTCTTGGGATCTCCTGATGATGTAAAGGAGTACCTTGAGATAGTCAAGAAGCATTCAGCTAAGTAAAGAAAGCTTGCTGGAATCACTGTGCAAAGGGGAAGGAAGGTCTTACAGCTGAACCAAAGAACACACTGCAGCACTGCGAAATTGAACTGTCTGACCTCTGTAGCAAAAGAGCAAATAAACCATATTTTCATAAGATTTTTTTAAAGTGAAATCTTGTGTAATTGCATTGTGCAATGGAAGGCATTAAAATATTGCATTAAATAAAGCAGTAAAAGTTAAAGCAGTGGAAAAATATGTTTTCTTTCTCATTTATCGTTTGTGATTACACGAGAGCCACTGTGTTGCAAGGAAATAAATACTGTGTTGCATTCAGTAACTAGGGGGAAAAGACTCCACTTTCTTAGAAAAGTTACAGACTATCACCAGTGTATCTGACTCTGTCCTCCTGACTGTGTCCACTTCTAAAAATCTGGTGAGGAATACTCAGCAGCCTCTTACAGTGAGTGACCTTTCCTAGACTGATATCTAGGTCCCAGAAGTTGCTCAGCGTACTTCAGTCAGGTTTACTCTGACTAGGAATTAAGATGTGTGAAACATGTGCATTACTATATGTTAATTCTGACACACTATTAATATTGTCAGTTGTCATTCTGTCAGATCCAGTTACACAAAGATGGAAAATGACATTTGGGGTAGGGTGTTAACTGGATAAAGAGTATGTGTAGACAGTATGTACATAGACAGATTCTGCTGTGGTGAGCTGGATATCTTTTTGCCAGAAATTAACCTGCTTACTTGATGAAAACATGAACCTTTGTATTGCTAGCAACCCCCACCAGCTGTTCTTTGTATTATGTTGGGGTTGTGGATTACCATGGAAAAGGATTCTGCTGTGCAAGCAGCAGGAAGGTGCAAAATCACCACAAAGCATACTGATGTTTAATATGCATATGCTGATTCAGAGCATGCTGCTGTGAACAGGATTCTCATGCTTGGAAGCCAGATGCCTGTCCACCTGTCTGGATACAGTTTATGGCTCTTTGAATTAACTGAAATCTGCAAATCTTTGATATTTCTTACTACCCACTCACCTTTGCCAAACTCAAACTAAGGGACATGTGAATATTTCTGTGGGTAGACTGGCACCAAACAGGGACTCAACCCATGGTCTGGGAGGCCCTGTATATGGGTGCCATGAGCTATAAACCTGCCTGCTTGAGGATTTTGCATACCTCCCTGCAGATAGCCTGACTGAGTGTGGTTCTTCTTGAAGGGAGTATGGGGGAACCTGGAGTCCATTGTGCCAAAGGCATGCTCTGTAAGGGCTCACACAGAAAAAAACTAGGGACCCTTGTTCTGACAGGTCACCTGAGACATTTGGAAGCGTACTGTCAAACCTTAGACAATTGAATAAATGCATCTCCAAACTGACAAGGGACAAGATGTTTCTGACAGTGACTGAATGGCCTAGTGTCTGCTGAAAATGTTGCTTCTGATGAGGCTTTGCTTGTGAATACAGAGCTTTCAGGGATCTGAGCCCTTAAAGGACTACGACAGTGCTGGCCATAGCAGTTCGGGCTACAGTGCCTCAATAGTCTATTAGCCTAACTTGGAAGACAGTATCCACAGCAGCCATTTTTCTCTAGTTCCAGTAATTTCTTGTCTGTATTCCACCCCAAGCTTGATAAGAATCCTTGGACTGCATATATTTATTTTTAATACACCACACTGGCAGCAGGTAAAGGTTGTAGGAGGAGAGTTAATTACTGCTCATGTTTGCTAGGTCAGTTCCCAGTTTTGTTTTGGGTTTGCCTTTAGGCTGACAGTTCATTTTCACATTTTTCACACTGTGAGATGGGTTTTTCTTCCAATCAGTAATATGTAGCAGATCATCCTAGGTGCAATCACGTGACACCTACAGGATGGACAAGGGATCAGACCCAGCCAGCATAGGTTTAAAAGGCAGGTTCTGTCTGACCAACCTGATCTCCTTTTACGATCAGCTGACCCACCTGGTGGATGAGGGGAAGGCTGTGGATGTGTCTGTCTGAAGTTCAGCAAACCCTTTGACACCATGTCCCACAGCACGCTCCTGCAAAAGCTGCAGCCCATGGCTTGGACAGGGGCACTCTGTGCTGGGTCAGGAACTGGCTCGAGGGCCGGGCCCAGAGAGTGCTGGTGAACGGGGCTGCATCCAGCTGGTGGCCGGTCACCAGTGGTGTTCCCCAGGGATCAGTGCTGGGCCCTGTCCTGTTTAACATCTTTATCGATGATTTAGATGAGGGGATTGAGTCCATCATCAGCAAATTTGCAGATGACACCAAGTTGGGGGGGAGTGTCGATCAGCTGGAAGGCAGGAGGGCTCTGCAGAGGGATCTGGATAGACTGGAGAGTTGGACTGATTCCAACAGGATGAGGCTCAACAAGGCCAAGTGTTGGTACCTTCACTTTGACCACAACAACCCCCTGCAGCGCTACAGGCTGGGGACAGAGTGGCTGGAGAGCAGCCAGGCAGAAAGGGACCTTGGAGTTTGGATTGACAGGAAGCTGAACATGAGCCAGCAGTGTGCCCAGGTGGCCAAGAAGGCCAATGGCATCCTGGCCTGGATCAGGAACAGTGTGGCCAGCAAGAGCAGGGAAGTGATTCTTCCCCTGTACTTTGCGTTGGTGAGGCCACACCTTGAGTATTGTGTTCAGCTCTGGGCCCCTCAGTTCAGGAAGGACATTGAGGTGCTGGAGCAGGTTCAGAGAAGAGCAACAAGGCCGGTGAAGGGACTTGAGCACAAGCCCTATGAGGAGAGGCTGAGGGAGCTGGGGTTGTTTAGCCTGGAGAAGAGGAGGCTCAGGGGAGATCTCATCACTCTCTACAACTCCCTGAAAGGAGGTTGTAGCCAGGTGGGGGTCGGTCTCTTCTCCCAGGCAGCTGTCAGTAAGACAACAGGGCATGGTCTCAAGCTCTGCCAGGGTAGGTTTAGGTTAGATATTAGGAAGAAAATCTTTACAGAGAGGGTAATCAGGCATTGGAATGGGCTGCCCAGAGAGGTGGTGGATTCTGCATTCCTGGTGGTATTTAAGAAGAGACTGTATGTGGCACTCAGTGCCGTAGTGTAGCAGCTGTGGTGATAGTGGATCAAGGGTTGGACTTGATGATCTCAGAGGTCCTTTCCAACCCATCTGATTCTATGATTCTATGTAAGCCCACATTTGAACAACATCCCTGGCCACCAGTGGGGAGAACTATTCAGTAATCTCTTTCCACATCTCCTCTCCTAGAGCTCTCCCTGCCCATCAGTGCAGGGTAGGAGGGTCAGTTTGCCACAGTATCTGCTGTCAGCCCTAGTGGCAGTACTTGCTACTGCCCTGCTCAGAGGCTACACCGTGGCCTTTGGTGAAAGGTCAGTGGCTCCAATTTCAGCTGGAGCCATCCTAGCGACTAACATTTAATGTCTGTTAGAAAAGGTGTCACCTTTAAGACACATGACTGGACTATACACAAGTGGAAGTGTGAATTATCCCCAAGAGCTCTTGTGTAATATCTATATTAGAGGGCAAATCTCCCATAGATTTGTCAAATTGAGGTTTTAATTTTTTTAACCTTTTTATGATGTTCCAAACCATTGCACTGAGGGGTTCTCAGGCTTAGATGGACTCATCACACATTTTTGGAACCATATGATTTCTACCCCCTCCCCAGAATGGTAATTATTTTTATAGCTTAATCATTAAGTATAATCATTCAGGTTTTTATTATTCAGTGGAATCACAGTATTTATCAAAACAGGGTGAAGTTTTCATGCAATCCAATAATTTGCTTTTTTACTCCATGTTTTATTCTTTTATTTATCTTTGCTACACTGTTAACCGCAATGTTTAAAGAAAACTTGGTTGTAGAGTCTGTGTCCTTTACATACTAGCATAAATAAGTTAATTCCTTATTGAAGGACTGTTACTTGAGAGCAGCTCAAAGCATTGTGCTTTATACATACTAAAAAAATCCAGTAAAAAATATCGGGGGATTTTTCAGGNAAAAAAAAAAAAAAAAAAAAAGAGCGCAAATAGTAGACTGACTAGCTCTGAAAAAAACACCCTTTGAACCTCTAACTCTAAAACAAACCTTCTGTTAGAAGATGATCTGAACTTTGTCTTTTTGACCAATGTAAAACATCACTTGTAATCAGCAGAAGATCCACATGTGGTGTTTTGATAAATGTTACAAGCCATGGGCCAACTCTTCCCCCCCCCCCCCATTTCATATTTACTAGTTTGTTTTGGTATGCTTATGATATTCTAGCTACACAGAAGAGAGGTTTTACATTGAAAACATTTTAGTACTGGTTAGGAGTACTAGTCACACTGACAGTCTAACTTCACTTCAGCTTCATGCGCTCCAAGTATATTGCTTGTGAGGAGTTACTGGCAGCATAACTGCAAATTTGGACTTACCTACATTTACATGGTGCACTTTAATATGAAAACCGACATAAAATTTTATTTTGTGAGTTATGACACTGACATGTTTTTATCAAAGAGGCCTAATTTGTAAATTATTGATGACATAATTACTTTGTAACTAGTCTAGGTGAAGAAGCAGAGATTATGGGAAGGGAGCTTCACTGCCTTCATTTCTGGTGCCTTGCAAATTGTGCACTTTGCCTTGGTTATGCTGAGCCCATTGCTAAGCAGCATCTACAGGAAAGCCAATTCCAGCTAAGCAGCCTGCCAGAGTTTTGCATTATAACCAGTCTAACGCACAATGAGAATATGTAACTAGATCTGCACATAGCTAATTTTGGTGTGTAGGGATACCATCCAAGAAGTGGTTGCTCAGCTGTAGTCCCGTCTCAGGCTCCTTTCCTACATCCCAGTGGAGCCGTGGGGCCAGCCTGGGGTGCTGTTATTCTGAGCACTCAATCACATGGTCTCAGAAGCATCTTAATAAATTCTGACCAGCAACACAGCTAAAAGCTTTGCCTCAAAATAAAACAGCTCCCCAGGACCTCAACACAGCAAGAGAGCATCTTGTCTGGCTGAGCAGATAAGAACTCTGCTACCTGGTAAAAATGACTGACAAAACCCCCTTCGAAACAGATATGCTGACTCTCACGCGATTTGTTATGGAAAAGGGACGTCGTGTGAAAGGAGCAACAGGAGAGCTGACACAGCTGCTCAACTCCATGCTGACTGCCATAAAGGCCATTTCCTCTGCTGTCAGAAAGGCAGGCCTTGCTCACATGTGAGTCCTACCTCGTGATAAAGGGAGGAAGAGGAGGTAGAGAGACAGCTACTTGCACAAGGCTGGGGAGTGGGCAGCAATTCATAAATACTTTGGAAGTGTCTTTTTTTAAGCTGATTGAGGTCAGAGCCTGGATTATCAAGAGTGGGAAGCAGGAGATCTCTCTGGAGCTTTTTAATATTGGGCACAAGATAGACATTTAAACTGACTACTACTGTTCTGTAATATTTTATTCTAAAAATGGAAGTCAGAACTTCAATGCACTGCTCACCTTATCTCTTGTACTTGTTCATATTGAACTGTTTTTAAATCTACTGTGAATTTGCTGAAAATCACACTGTGATATTTTTAATGTAGAATATTTCACTGTAATGTTTCTGCTAGCATCCAAGTCCTCTGCTGAACTGTGCAAATCAGAGCTTGGTTTAGCTCAGGAAGGTGATTTTCTGCCTATTTGCCATACAAGTAATGGTCTAAAGCAAGAGCCCTGTGAGAAATGCCATGTACTGCCATGCATTTCTCCTTCCTTCCTCAAGCAGTAGCCCTCAATCAGGGTTAAGGGCAGGGAGTCTTAATGAGCCCTATATGAAAAACAAATGTAACCACTTGTCATCTAGTATAGAAAATGAAATAAAGAATTGCCTTAGCAAAGCCTGGAGTGTTCTGAGCTTTTCCTCACAGCCAGGTGAAATAAATATCAACATTGATATTCAGTGTTGATCTATCTGAAGCTGTTCAGAGGAATAGAATGTGCTGATAAAATTATGCATTTAAAATAGAAAGGTTTTGGTAAGTATTGAACTATATGATTCTTGATATGCTTCAGTATGTATATATATACATGCATGAAAGAAACAAGGAATACGTTTGTGAAAGAAAGTCAACACTTCTAATTTGTTCTGGGTTGTTGGATTTTTCTCCTTCCCATGGAAACACCAAAGTGCCTGACAGTCAGGGTTTTTTCCTTTTTTGTCCTCAATGCTGTTTGCAAATCATGAATTCAATCTCTCAGCAGTATCACCCTCGCTTTACAGGCATAGACCATAATATGTAGAGAGGACATGAGACATATTCAGACTTAACAGGAGCATTGGGCTCCTATACCCTTACTGTTATACTATGCTTTGTCCTTACTAGGTGAAACTGTTTTGCCTGCCTGTCTTAGAATAACAGTTGCTTTTATGTAATTTTTATGTTTTGGTAGGCAATGTCTGAAGTATTTAGTAAGTACAGAGAAACTTTTTGGTAGATTAGGGGTAGAATAGTCACATATCCTTCTTCCTTTCAGAAAAAAACCCCATCCATTATGCTGAAGAGCAAATGTTTCTTTCTATAAACAAAAGCTTCAGATTTTGAATCAGAAATATCTAAAGTATCCAAACCACAAATAAGTAATGTGCATTGTTTAAATTACTGAAACTTACTACAGAGTTTCAGAAATTCCCTTGGCAAACTTTCAACATAGGTAACTGGCTTGCATCCATCTGCATTTCTGCAGTAAAGAGACCTTTAGGGTTTTTTAGCCCCTCCTTTGATGTGTCTTCTTGAATTTTAAAGAGTTCAACATGAATTTCAACAAATTTTCAATTCAAAAGTGAAGGAGGACATTTTCTAAGTCATAGATCTGAGCTGGAATTGTGCCTGAAAACACACTGACTGGAGAATAGGTACTTAGCACTCCCTGGCAATCACAGTCCTTTCTAGTACCCTAAACTTGGCACTCAAAAATAGAATGTAGAGAAGTATTCAAAACATAGAATACTTCCAAAAAGCTCAGGTGGCTTTGAGTAAGACAAAACATCTAGCCTGCTCCCAGCTAAGACCTGCCACTCACCAGCATCATCCTAGGGACTAATCACTTGCCCCTTTCTCCTACACTTTTTTCACCCCCTCCCAATGAATAAAAAAGCTCTATCTATTCCCTGTATAATTTTTATATTTCTAAGATGCCCAGATGATGCACATTAGGTTTAAGCAGTGCTTCGTCAACTGGAAATCTCAGAAACATATATTCTGTTTTCTATGTCATTAGTATATTGCTAAAATATGCTGAGGATCACCAAATATAAAAGACCCTGATTCTGAGATACAGTTCTGTATGGCAAATTACCTAGGGATGTCTCCAAACTTTCTGATTTGGGGCTGGCTGGGGACTGAGTGAATGTGGATTGAAGGATCACCCCAGAGCTCTGACCAGCCTTTTTCAGAAGCAAACAGCCTCTTCTGCTTCCCCAAACTTGCTGTCGAGTGCTTTGTGAGGCTGCTGGGGAAGCCTGGCCCCTACTTGTTGGGCTCTATACTCTGCTTCTAGCCTGAAGAGCATCCAAGCAGAAGAAAAAGGACCTGGGTAAAGCCTCAAAATGATACCATTTTACTTTCTCATGCATGTTTTTATTTTCTAGCAGCAGCAACAGTCTTAAAATGCACCTTAGTAGTTTAATCCAAGAGTTAGATAAAGGGGTGGGAAGATGAGAAGAAGGAGCCACTCTGACTTGTTTTGTTTTGTTTTGTTTTGTTTTCCTGAAAACCTGTGATATTGGCCTCCCTCAGGTTTTTTGACATTTTTACTATTCTGTAGGTTTGGTATAGCTGGCACTGTGAACGTGACCGGTGATGAGGTGAAGAAGCTGGATGTATTATCCAACTCCCTGGTGATTAATATGCTCCAGTCCTCCTACAGTACCTGTGTCCTTGTCACAGAGGAGAACAAGGAGGCCATCATCACTCCGAAAGACAAGCAGGTCTGTGCAATCCGACATTCAGGGGGATTATGGGCTCAGGCAGCAGTAGGTGGCACTCTTGCTTCAAGTATGAAACCTGGGCCTGGCCCCAAAATCAAGGTTTCCCAGGGGAATTCAGAAAATTTGCATAATTTCTGTGTTGTTTTGATTAATAACTGTGGTGGATGGCATGGTTTCAACAACTAAAAGACATGTGGAGGATAAAATTATTATTAAAGTTTTGCAAAGTGGGGAGAACAGTTATTTTTGAGGTTTTTAACATACCCCAGATTCCAACTGTAAGAGTACTATTACAATGCCTGACCTGGTTTTGGATTACATTAGTACTTAGGCAGGATAAAATGAGATCAGAGCCTGGCAGAACTGGGTTTTATGTTACATTGCCAAAGGAAACACCTGACTAGTTCGTCAAGCTTTCCCCAGGAGGGGATCCTATTGCAGAGGGATACTGCTCATGCTGATGTAGCCTTCCCCTTTCCTAAGATTTTTTCTTTCTGCCTTCTTACCCTCAAACTTCACAACACAGGGAAATCCTTTAATTTGGAACTAAAAGTAACAAAACAAAGCATATTTACTCAAGGAAGATACATACTTTCAGAATGTGTCCGTCCTTTGCTTTCAAACGATTTCTTGCACTGCTTGGCAGCAGAGGATTGCTCCTTTCTATCATCTGATTTTGTGCTGTCTGAGCAGAAAGGTGTCTTCTCCTATTTCTCTGACAGGCCCTTAAGGAGTCAGTATTGTGCTGCAGGGCCAGCTGTGTCAGCAGTGCAGAGTTCTCTGATGAGCTGTATCAGGACTAAATTAAGTCATGAAGACATGGAATTTGTCAAGTAAAAGGAAACAATAATGTGAAACAATATATCATCTAATGCTTTCCTTGCCACTTCTGTTTTAGGGCAAATATGTGGTTTGCTTTGACCCCCTTGATGGTTCATCCAATATAGACTGCTTGGCACCTATAGGAACTATATTTGCTATCTACAAAAAGGTAAGAGGATGGACGAAGCACACATAGCACGATTGACTCAGTGAAAGCAAAATGTCTTGGGTTTATCACCTTGCCTAGTTTCTTTCCTAGGTCCTTTATATGTGTCTGGGAAAAAGGGAACCTTAGAAACAGTGGAAGAGGTAACACTTGAGATTTGTGAGTGCTAAAATGCTGCCTGAATTCCCAGGAAGGGGACACCCAATACCCAACCGCACAAAATGGTAACACTTCCCTCTTCCAGATGCACAGGCACTTAAATAAAACCCTCTCTCTACCAGACAGCTGGTTAGCTTCAGTGATGCTCAACTCAGTGTTATGGTGCTTATGAATCACAGTATTTCTGCTCCTGGACACTTACTGGGGAGGGCTGGCAGCTCTGGAGCATCTCATGGTTAGCAGTGTGGTGACCTCCCAGCACGAGGGCTAGGCCTGTTACGGATGGGAGTTTATAAGCAAAGTAGCAATGGAGGCTGAAGGAAGCAAACACCTGCATTCATCGGGGCCCTGCCAGCATGTCTGCTCCCATGGGGTTGCACAGAACAGCAGCTGTGCAGCCAGCTACAAATGCTAATAGTTATAGTCATGCCAAGTCTTGTGATTTGTTTGCTAATCTCCCAGTGGTTGGTGTTTTTCCCAAAGCCTGAGCTCATAGTCATATGACTGTGGGAGACCCTCAGCCATTACTATTGTGAAATAACATTTTACAATGCTTGTGACTTCAAAGAAGTCTTTCCAGATTTAGATGCTACACTTCAAACAAAGGAAGATATGTTTTTAAAGTCTGTGTCATCTTTTAACTTGTAATTTGCAACTGGCTAGTCCTTGGTTTTTATGTTTCTTGTAGGCAGTACACTAGTCATTACTGCTGAGAATATGCAACTACTAGGGAATCAAACAGGAACAGTCTCAAGAGGGTAGTGGCACAAGCCAAGTCCTGGTATATGGTAGGCTCTATCGTATGGTTTTCCTTATGACACTGTTAATGGTTAGTGCAAACCCACATCACAGATGAAGGACAGGCCAGACAACACTAAGAGGATGTCTGGGTATGGTTTGTGGAAAAAGGAGCCCATGAACTTCCTGCAGTACCATGCAGTATCTTGCTTTTGCAGGGAAGAAAGCTTATGCATGCAATCCATGAAATATGCTCTTTTGGTAAGCAAAGGGGCCTCCACCCTTTTCATTTGTGTCTCAAAAGATAACCTAAATGACAACAGCAGCTCCCTACATTTACAGTAGGCAATAGCTGCATTGTCCACTATTCTTAAGGGTGGTAAGAACCTTCTTATGAATACTAAAGACAATTTGTCTCTCTAGAAATGTTGTGTTAACTTACAGTATGTAATTGTAATCACTCCAGTGAAGCATATAGCTTAGATGGTTGAAACACAGATTAGATTTCTCTCCCATCTTGAATTCATCTGTAATATGTGTAAAGACTATGGAGTGCTCAGTTTTCCCTAAGATTCTGCTTCAAAATAGGAGCATTTGCCAAATTTCCAAATTCTCAAGATTTCAAATATTTTTCTGATCCTTTCACAGTTGTATTATATATTAATATACTTCTTGTAAATACTTTTCCTAAGTTACTGGTTTCCATGTGGGTGGATACTTTTCAGTGCTTCCTAAGAAGGAAATTACATTGCTTTGTATGAATAGTTCATATCCCAGTGAAAATGCTGCTGTTAGGATGAAGCAGTATTTGTCAATTACAAGAACAACTCTACGAGAAAATTTTCAGTTTTCCCGGGAAAGTTAAAAATAATGTTGGTTTTTCCTGGTTTTACTTGCATAGCATTTTCCATTAGAATGCTAATTACAAAGTACATCTTAATTAATGTACCTTCATGTCAGACAACACAATATCATAACAACACTATTATCTTTAAACACTAGTAAATTCAAAATCTTTGAAACTACTGAATAATAATAAGGGCTTTAGTGATTGTTACTAAAGGGTAGTGGTGGATAAGTATCACTTAAGATAGAAGTCATAATCTCAGGACATTTTAAATGTTCATGAACAACATTTTGGAAAAGCTGGAACAATTGTAATTCAAATGGATGAATCTTAGCACTTATCTGATATTTGGCACCTGCCAATTCTCAGATGAGTGTGTGACTGATTTTCTACCATGTCTTATCTTACTTGCATTTCCAAAGGTGCACCCTTCAAAACTGAAACATTTGGCTCATTTTGGGGGGGGGGGGGGGGGAAAGGAGTTAAAAAAAAGAGAGGTGTAATAAGCACTTTTATACAAAAGTCAGACTTGGCCAATATATTTAAAGGTGAAACCAGTTCTCTGGCTGCATCCAACCCAGAACATCCAGCATGGTAGAAGGTATCATTCCCTCCTGTCAGAAAAGCACTGTGTCAGTTTCTTAGAGAAAACCACCAGGAAATACACTTTATCTCAGGTTTATTTAATTTTTCACCTGACTTTTGCTTTCTGAAACATGGGTGGTGTTGTTAAAAAGATCAGAAAGATCAAAAAGTGGGGCTGAGGGAGAAGCCTTTTTGAATCAGCAAGGAGTGAGTCCTTGGTAGTTGCTGCCACTGAGGGGCTCTCAGTTGTGTCAGAGTGCGGTGATAATAAATGCTTTTTGTTTGGATTCTTCCCAGCTTTTCAGGCCACTGAGCTGAATCTACAACTCTCAATTCACGCTGTACAAACATGCTGTGAAACTCTGTTGCTTTATTTCACCCTGGGTTTAATTTGTAACTTTGCCAGTGCCTCCGATGTATTTTATTTGCTACCTTTCATTGTCATCAGGAAAATGTCCTCCCCTTCGTGTGGTCCCTCACAGATAAAGTGTAAGAATTCAGTCTAAATGCAAAGAATACTCATAAAACACATGATACAAATGGACACCTGGCAACCAAGTCCTTCTAGAGTTGCTCCCAGTGCTGATGCGAACTCCATGTGATGTTGGGCAAATCATACATGCAAAAATTTCAAACTCAGATATCACCTGAGGGTACTCCCTATCTGCAGACCTTGTTTCATCTGCTTCACACCAATAATGAGCGAAAGTGACTGTGTCAAGGCTTGTCAGAGCTTTTCTGCAGTCCATCTGTCTATTTCAGTGTTTTACATAAAGACCTTCAAAGATATTTCACTACTAGCATCATAGTCAAAATATAATAGAAAGGAAATCCATCCGTGCACTAGAAAGAAGTGAAAATACTCAGCAGCACTCAGAGTGGACTGGCCAGTTAATCCTCTGATTTGTTTCACAGTACTTGGTAGGACAAAACTCCTACAGTCCTAACAATGAAATATCAGCTGATCTGGAGTTCTTTCATATTAACAAGCTTTGCAAAATGTTTGTTTCAGATTGAAATTTTGTCCTTCTTTTTGGAAGCTAGCTCTTGGAAACACAGTTGTGAATAAAGATAGAATAACAATTGAATTCTGTCCAACTGCCTATCTCTTGAGGGAAGAATCCTCTGTTTTTTTCAGGATAGCCAACAAATATGTATTTTTTCAGCTATACAAACACAGAAATTGCATTTAAGAAATAGGACTGAAAAGCTCATCTCAGAAAAAATCATCATGGCTGGGCTTTGCCAACAAAGATTTGAGAGGGGCTCTACCCACGCTTGCTACAAGTGCACTGATGGCTAAAAAGGCCAATGCGAGATAGACAAGTCCGGTTGCAGAAGGCACAGCAGAAAGACTCCCCAGGTGATATCGACGAGACTCGATTCTTTCTGCTTTGTCTTTTCTCCTCGAGAGTGATCCTGCATGTGTTCTCAAAAGCAGCAGCAGCGTTACAGATGGTGTGTCTCCAGGCCTCAGAAAAAATACATTTTAAATCAATATCATATATAAACAAAAGCTACATATATTGTATATATTCCATGCTCTAGAAAACAAACCTCTTTGCTGCATTTATATAGAATTATTTTTTATTTAATGAGAAAAGCATGTAGAAAGCTATGACAATCATACTATGTTTGCAGTTAGTTGTGTGAATATATGTTTAATTCTGCATTTAATGGTGCAAATAATTTGTCTACCATACAAGCATTGCTTTTGATGCTGAGATGTAAATGCCATGGGGATATATTTTTGAAAGAGATGTAGGGCATAATAGTTGGTTCTGTAAAGACTGTTTAGCAAAGTATTAGCCACTATCAGTCAATATTAAAAGCTCTGAAATATACAAATAAAATTTTAACTAGTCTTCCTTCATTATGTGCATTAGAATCTCTCTGAATAAGCATCTTGACATAATTTCAAGTGACTGTTTTTATACGAGGTACATTTCAGCTCTCATGAAGGGCTAGTTGGCAACTGGATTTTTTTTTTTCCTCAGAAGATCTTGCAAAATAATAACAAAAAAAAGATTTTAGCAAAGTACAACTAAAAATTGTAAGTGAAGTAACAAAAGTAGCAAAATCTTTCATCTGAAAACAAAAACATTTTGGTGTGAAATCACTGTCTTCATATGCCAGGAAAGATGTAATTTCAGTGTCCCATACTTCAGTTTTCCTCTAGATGTTGGCATATAACAATGAATGGGACTACCTTGTCTTGGCAGGCACCCTGATAGCTCTTTGCTGTGAGGTAGACCAGAGAATTTCTCTGTAGAAGGCAAGGTGTTTTCTTTTGAAAAATATCGAAGGAAGGCATTCTTGATTTTTTAAAGAATTTACTCAATATTCATCAAAGACTGTTTTCTACACAAGGTAGTCTTCTGTGATTTTTATTTTTTTAATCAGATATTCTGGGCTAGGCCTGCTATTTCTACTGAGCTGCTACTCAATCTAATTAAGCCCATGTAATCACTGAGAAACTATCTGAGTTTGGAGTAATAAAATACTAAACCAGGACCTGAAGAAAGAGGAGGTTTCCTTTTAATTCGTCATGGACCACTGTCAAAACACTCACACAAGACCCACCATAACTGGCAAGCTTTTAAGTAAATATTAATATGAAGCATACCCATTTTGTGGTTCCAGTAGGGGAAGCTGGAACCAGCCTTCCCAGGTACTCCTGGCTATTCTCCTTACCCTGACAGACAAACTCTTTCAAGCTATGGCTGAGGCACAACCCTAGAACTAGCTGGAAATACTTGCACTAGGTCTGCTTGGGCTAGTGGTGTTCAGTTATAACCAAAGAACCAAATCCAAATGTGGATGTTAGAAAATGAATAAAAGAGTGAAGTAAAATGCCATGTATGTGCTACATAGAGTTACATGTGCATATCTCCACACATGCACACTTCACGTCATCAAATACATTTGCTATTTTATATATAATATGAACATTTACGTCCCTTCAGTTACCTATCTCTTCACTAGCAGAGACCAGTACACAAACTTTGTTCTATCATGTTGCATCTACCTCTTTATTCTGTATTACTGGAAGCGTTTTTTCTGTAATGTTAATTGCAACTTTTATCTCTCAGTTATTTCCTCTGAGGCATGTCAGTATGATAGCTTATGTTATATTTACAGAAAATTAGTACCTCTGTTCAGTCTCAGATTTCTGATGATCTTGAGTTATTAGCCTAGGCTGTAGCGCTAAGGTGTCAGTTTTGTTGCAGGTGTCATATTGATTGTGTGATATGTATAAAATAACAAACTCTAAGCACCCTGTAACAGCATGCACATGTAATTGTACCAAACTTGCTCTGAACTAGTGGGAACAATCTCTGTTTTGTTGTTTCAAAGGCCTGCATAGACACAAAAATGAGAACTGTCATATTATTACTGAAGTATTGTTTCCAGTGTTTATCATCAGAATTTAACCTTCAGTCCAACGGTAATTTTTCCTCAGGAAACAGATGATGAGCCCTCTGAAAAAGATGCTTTACAGCCCGGACGTAATATTGTTGCTGCAGGTTATGCCTTGTATGGTAGTGCTACACTGGTTGCCCTCTCCACAGGGCAAGGAGTTGACTGCTTCATGCTCGATCCGGTACAGTAGTGCTGTTAATCACATTGTCACTATCTTTTAGAGTTTTCTGTACTCAGCTTTACTTATTTTTGTTAGTCCTTGTCTCTGTAATCTACCCACTCTTTGGAATTCTTTTTTTAATGCCCTAGAGCATCCCATTTCCTGTTTACAAGTATTTATTTAATAATACATGAATGACCATGTTGGTTGCAATACCTATTTGTTTTTTTCTATTCGATAGAAGAGAAATTAAGTTAAAGTCTTAGTTAAGCATTTGAGACCCTGTTCATTCAAAACAACACTTAAAAAAATTCAATCTGAAAAGCGCCTTTACCTCCACTTAAAAGTACTACACTTTTATCTTTTTCTTGATTTTTTCTGTCTGATGAAAAACATCAACATGTTTGCTATTCAGCCTGAGGTAAGGTCCATTTTTTTTTTAATACAATTCATGCACAATGATGTGTGATTTCCTGAATGCAGTTCAATGTCATGGCTGTCACCTAAACTGCATACTCCGAAATTTGCAAAACCACAGCCATGCCTATACAATTGGACATGTGCCACTCCTTGGTGTCCAGCCCAGGAGCCAAATGAGTATTACAGTGGGAATGCAGGAAGGCCACTCATAACCAGCATTAGATGTGGGCAATAACATAGGAGGGTTGGGATTTGGGTTTTCTTTAATATAAAAGGATGCATTATTATCAAAACTTCTTTTAACCTTTATAAATAGTCTCACTCCAAGTAGAAAGAACTGGGAGCTGAACTGTTCTGGTAAGAGACAGAGCAAGAGAACATGGATGTTGAACTCAAACTGCAGACAGCAACACCTGGAGGAAGCTGACCACATTCACTTTAAGATATTTAGACAAGACAGGCAAGAAGAGTTAAAAAATCAGAAGACAGTGTAATTTCTTAATTTGCAGCTGTATGAATTGTAGACAGAGATTCACGATCTATCCACTTTCAGAGCTGACTGCTGTTTCTTTGATATGCTATTACAGTCAGTTTACTTTTTGCTTATAGTACCAAAGTGACAAGTTTTCTTTAGCTTAATGCAGATCTTTGCTTTCTGTTCTTTTTGAAATACTGTGAGGTTATACACCAGACTGGCGCTGGAAGGACCAAGCTGTTCTAACGTTTCTGTCTCGTCCAGTGTGACAACTGTTATGGAAAGTCAATAAAATTTTCTGCTGCTTGCTAAAACCTCATCTATCCTGTCCTGCAGGGTCTTGGTGAATTTATTTTGGTGGACAGAGATGTTAAAATCAAGCAGAAGGGGAAGGTGTACAGTCTCAATGAAGGTTATGCAAAATATTTTGATCCTGCAATGACAGAATATTTGCAAAAGAAGAAATTCCCTGAGGTAAGAAAATATTAACACTGTACCCCATGTACTGGCATTTACTCCATTCCATACAGTCCTGACTGATGGGAAAGGATTTGAAGACCTCCCTAAATTCAGACCCATTTAACCCTTTCATGCCATCAAATCCATTGTGGGTATATATCTAAATTTTGTGTGTGTGTGTCCTGACATCTTTTATGACTTAGATTTCAGTAAATAAAATCATAGCTTGTTCATCACTTTGGGAACAAAAATGTGCTGAAGAACAAGCTTTTTCATCAAAATTCTGCAACTGTACTAGCCAAATTAATTCACACTTAAATTGTATAAAGAATCTACTCTTGAATAGGAAATCCAGTGTATTCCGAACGTATCTGATGATTTGTACACAGGTGGAGCAGCTGTGCAGTTCATGCCTGTGGGTTGCAGACTCCTTATCTGATAATGTCATAGAAGCAACCCTTAACAATCTCTTTCAGGGGTTGCATACTTTTGATAGGACTTTTCTTATGTTAAACAAACTTTTCTTAACACTTGGTTATTACCTGTTGAAACTATAAAAGAGAGTTCTTCCTTTGATGGTGTTTTTAAAGGTATTTTGAGACTGTAATCACATCTCGCCCAGACTTTAATGGCAAACCTGCTTAGGTCTCCCTCTTACATCTCGTAAGGTATTGTTTTTTTCTGATGTCAGATTTTTACAATTGTAAAGTCACAAGTGCAAACAGTGTGATGGAGAAGCTATCATTTGAGGTCTAAATATGCAATTACTTGAGTGTAAGCTATGAAAAACAAGGGAGCAAACACTTGAAAGTATTGTTCATTTGTATCTTGAAGTAATAGGACCAGCTTTAAACAAAACTGAATATAAAAGCTCCAGACTGTGTCTTATCCATCATGTTTTCCACAGTTTGTATTGTTTTCCTCTGAATTTTTTATACTTCTCCTAATGTTCTCTTATGTTATTCATAGGCTGGAAGAGGTCTCCCTTCCAATTTTACTATCAGCTACATGAAATATCTGAGTTGTATAGTTAAGCATCTTAGAACTCAACTTCCTAGTGTTCTGTTGCATTATAATGTGTGATTTTATGAGAATCTCTTCCCGTTTTAAAAGAGAATAATTTTCAAAACTTCACAGTTGCATAGAACAATTTGGAAAAGTGATTTTAAAATAGAACAATATTTTTTTTTCTATTTGTGTGTTTTCCTCCAAGGTGTTTTTTCTCCCAGCTAACCTTATGATTTTTGGGGATATGTGACTAACTTATGATATCTGAAGGTGTTGAAGTTGGCATTGCTGAACAAGTTCTCTATGTACTTCTCTGGACCCAGTATCAGAACAGGTCGAACTTTGTAGAAAGCCTCAAGATCTTTCATTATAAAACTGATCCAGACAAAAAGACCCATGCAGAGGTGTATTCAACATTCATTTGGTCTTCTATATGTGCTTCTATTTTTTCAAGACAGCTTGCCTGTCTTCTACATTTCCTACCTTGCCATTCTTAAGACCAGCAAACCTGAGATTGACTTGAATACTTTCCTGATATCTCTTGCTAGAATGACCTGTCCTTCAACAACATCAATTTCTAAGCTGAGAGCAAGGAAAACTACGTTCATGAATAATTGCTATCTGTCAAAGTAAGCTGCAGAATGAGTGTTATGGCCAATTTTGCCATTAGCAAATAAGCTGGAAGATAAAAGTTGGAGTCCTCTTGGAACCATCTGGACATTTGGTAAAAAACGGCATCCCATCTTATGTTCTGGCTTAGGAACCAGTGAAGAATCAAAAATCAAATGTATGCCTTGTGCTGTTAATGTGAAGAAGTTTTCACTCCCTTGTTTTTTCTCAGGTTGGGGTCGATTCTAAATTGTGCACTCAAACTACAGGCACCCCAGTTTTCACACTGTGAATGCAAATCTTCAAAACATTTATTTGAGAACTCTGTAGATTATCACTGTCTTACAAAAGGCTACACTTCAGACTGGTTTTTGCATTTATGGTATCCATAAATAGCCATTGATTTAAGCAGTTTTGATTCCTGTTCCATAAAAAAAAAAAAATTGCCATGCTACTAGCTGTCTAGCCTGGCAAATATGATGTTTTACTGTATGTTTTTCAGGATGGCAGTTCCCCATATGGTGCCAGGTATGTGGGCTCCATGGTAGCTGATGTTCACCGTACATTGATGTATGGTGGGATCTTCATGTATCCTGCTAATAAGAAGAGTCCTAAAGGAAAGGTATATGATTATACTTCTTTTCTGCCAACCTAATACTTCTGGTATTACCAGAGATGTAAAAGAATTTTAGGTAAGTTAATGGATAATAATTTTCCATCCCTGAAAAAAACTATCAATGGATTTGGTGTCAGTATAGGGAAGAAACATAGGCAATTGCCAATTTAGGCCATAAATCTTCCTGTGGGCTTTTATGTTACAAACTACTCAAATGGTTTTCACTGCAACCAATAACCTCATCAATTTTTCTAAAGATAAACATCTGAGTACCATAGAAACCCACTGCCATATATGTGCATAACTGGCAGATACAACACAGACCTAAGGCAGACCTCTGCACTTTAAATTGGCAGCTGAAGTTATCCCACCAACAGGTGGGTTATGCTGAACTCCAGAGAGGGTTTTGTCCCGGTAAAATTGTTTTAAATATTTGAATCATCATCCTGGGGAAAAAAAAAAACACACTACACTAAAAAAAGGGCCTTCATTAGACTATGTTTGTGCATCAGAGCAAGAGACAGAAAAGGAATCTGCTGGTTGTGAGAAAAGTGGGTTTACTGACTGGCCTCTTCAAATTAAACTTTTGGTTTTGAAATCTGCATTAAATCACTGCTGAAGAAAAAAAAATGAGAAACAGAACAAAAGAACAGATTAACAAAGTACCTATGTAATTTTACATAAATTAATATTTCCACATAAGTTAGCTTATATTCACTCTTGGATTGCTCTAGCTTGCACTACCATCATAGAGAGAGTAATAAGAGAAGCAAAACTGTGCTATCATTACAAATAAAATTTTTTTTCTTTGCTTCTCAGAGTGTAGATCTATATAGTTCTTGTCACAAAGGTCTTTTCTTGTTGAATAAATAATGCCTTTGTGGCAGGTGCCCTGATCACCATTCCTCTGAAAGACATTCTATGCACTTGGTTAGAGAGCTGAAAGAAATCAAATGCCACTGGAATTGACTGATGAAAAGTCTTTAGTACGTATGTAAATGACATGCATGTAGGCCCTAACATATACAGCTCCTTCTCAAAGTTAAAGGAAGAGAACAAAATGCTCAATAAATAGAACAGAAATGGCCAACAAATAGATCCTCTTTTCAAATCAGGTATGCTCCATAATATTTTTTATGAATTGAAGGCTTATAGGTCTCTATTAGGTGAAAAATTGTTAAACTTGTCTGAAGACAGAGCCCACCTGAAGATCCCTAAGTACAGTTGCACTGCTATCTGCAGAAAAATTGCTTTCCTTAAGTTGCATAATCACAGTTAAACAACATGTGATTCCATGGTGATACCACTTCTGTTTTCTGATAATGATTTCCCAAAAGTGGGCCAAGCAATAAGAAGAACAGCAAAGGCTATTGGTCTTATGTTGCCAGTCAGATGGAGTCCTTGGACCAGAAGTAGCACTTTAGTGGGATTTAAAGATAAGAATGACAGTAATATGGCACTATTAAAGTTTTTTGTATATTATGGTTTTATTACAGTGTGCTAAAGGCATGACGGGTACTGAAGTCCTGTGTTGAACCCATTTGTTTTGATAGAGTTGCATTCTGTCACACTTTCTTTTCCACAGAAAACATTCTCTCTTTTGCACGTATGAAGAGTCCTTTAAACAAAATATGTACTAATACTGTTGTACATGAACACCTCACAAATAAACCTACAGAAATACTGCCTCTTAAAAAACAACCAGCTATCATCTACGCCCATTCAAAACCAGAAACTTTTGGCATATGTCCCAAATTAATTTTCATTCCACCAGAGCACAGTCACCCCAAGAGGCAATATTTTAAAAAATGTGAACAGATATCAGGGTCCAAACTAAAAGGGGAAATTTGCTTTTAATAGTAACTACATTTACTTCTGAAAGCACAGCCACCATCTGCGTGAGTTCAGGCTACTAATATCTATGCGTATTTCTGAAGAGAAGCACTCAAAACCTGAAATTTGAAGCTGGGAGCATCATGTTTCAAACTCTAAAATATCCTGACCAAACATAACACGATTGTCCCAAGCACTGAGGTAGCGCATAAAGGAAGAGATTTTGGCATTTTTTTCCCAGTACTATTAACTTAGCTGGCTTAACTGTTTTGCTGATGTCTGTGGGCCAGACAGCTACTTTTGACATTTTTGAAAAAATACGGCTTTGGTGCTGTGCATCAGTATGCCAGCTTGGAAACAAGAGTGGTGGTGCTTGGATGCAGGGTAGGTACACTGTGAGAAGGGGTAAGAAGGAGGGCCTGACTGAGAGGCACTGCTACGTAGGTCAACTGAAGTTTGGTACAAAATTCTCCAAAATCACAAAAGGAAGACTAGGTTTTGGTAAGTGTTTTTGTATATTTTGGTGTAATTTCCCCCAAAGGCAATCATGTGTTTCCTCTTTCTTTCTAGCTCCGACTCCTCTATGAATGCAACCCTATGGCTTTCATCATTGAGCAGGCGGGTGGGATTGCAACTACAGGCACAGAAGCAGTGTTGGATGTGAAACCTGAGAATATTCATCAGAGAGTTCCTCTTATACTTGGCTCTCCAGATGACGTGCAAGAATACCTTGCTTGTGTACAGAAACACAAGAAGAGCAGCTAAAGGCTTTTCCACATCAGACCTTGATCATGCATTTTTTCAGTCTGTAAGAAAAGCCATACATTTCAAGATGGTGGATTCTAGCAATTAACACAGTGAAAGTTCCGCTTTATGAGAACAAGAAAAAAAAAATTGTTGATGGGAAAAAAGGTAACAATTTAATTTCTCCTTGTAGGCAAAGGTAAAAATTCTTTTACTCTGATTTATGCAGTGCAAATATAGAGATGGAGTCCTGATTTCCAAACAGAAACTAATTTATATAATAGTAACAAAGGGAAGTGAATTGTGTCAATATCCCCATTTGATCTGAAGCTTTACATCTGACATTACATGGATGGTGTTATTTCAAACAGGATTTCCTCATCAATATTTGCAATGTTGTTATTTGGATTTTCTCCCAGAGGTTTTCTTGCCGATCCTTTTTATTTTGACAGCCCTAAGAACCAAAGTCTCATGCTGTCTGAAACAGAGACATTTTAAGCTCTAAATTATATGTGTCTTGAGTAATGAATAGAGATGAAAAGGCTGCAGTGTTGCCAGGGTATTTCATTTATCATAAGCATTGGAAATATCTTGTGTTATTTACAGACAGGCAGCTTTCAATGGCACAAATTACAATAAACCATTGTTATCGATGTGATACTCAAATCATGCCTATTCCCTGTTAATCCAGTGTTCTCTGCAACTGAAGAGGATACAAAGCCACTGTTACACATCTGTTTTCTTTTACTTTGAAAGGTTCCTTTTTTCAGATTGAAGCTTGCCCTTTACACATGTTATACTGCTGTGATGTCCCACCCTTACGGGGAAGGAAACATCCAAGATTCATAGATTGCTCATGGTCAAAAGAGAAAGCAAAAGTCAAATGGTTCATAAAAAATAACAAAGTTTTATTAGTAAATTACACACTTGGCATGGAAATTGTTAGGAGTTAGTCTGTGATCAACCGGTATAAACACACAGGTAAAGGGGTAGGGTGAAAGGTAAGAAAGAGAGAGAGAGGTGAATTAAAGAGGAGGGGGAAGGAGAGGGAGAGAGAGTCCTGGCTCCAGCATTGATCCAGCTGAGGGGTTGTTCAGGGTCCTGAGGGCACACATGTGCCTGGGCTTTGTTGAGATATCTTTTTATGGAAATGTTTTCCTTGCCTCGGAGATAAGTTTCTCGCTTTCTATGCAAATTTGTTGTCATGTGCAGTCCTTTCTTCTAGACCTTTCTGGAAACTGGTCGTAGGGCTTTGGGTGTCTTTGTTGATCTTGGTTCACCCTACAGTCCATGGTCATTTCTCAGCCTCATTCCTGCACTTGCATTGTATTGTGTTGTGCCTATCTCCAGGAGCTACAACAAAGCTGTTTGCCCTGGAAAAGCGCCCCTCTACCTCTATATGGCACTCTTTTCCAGCTCAGCTACATCCTGCTCTTTCTCACAGTGTGTTATTACCAACAATCCTTGGTTGTCTCCACAGCCATCAGGTTATCAGAGTTCGAGTCATGCACACTATCATATGACTCAGGATTCTGCATAGAGAAAACAAAGTGGTAATCAGGACTAGAACCCTGAACTTTCTGACAGTTAACTTTGACCTCTTCGAAGACCTGCTTAGAGAAAATCTATGGCTTAGGGCTCTAGAAAAACTGTCTCCAAGAGAGCTGGTCAGTATTCAAGCATCACTTCCTCCAAACTCAAGGTCAGTGTATACCCATACACAAGAAAGCAAGCAAAGGGGGAAGGAGACCTGCATGGAAGAACAAGGAGCTTCTAAAAAGAAATTTATGGGATGTGAAAAAAGGCACAGGTCACATGGGGTGACTAAAGGAACCTTGTCAGAGTATGCAAGGATGTGACCAGGAAGACCAAGACCCACTTGGAATTGAATCTGGCAAGGGACATCAAGGACAACAAGAAGGACATCAATAAGTACATCAGTGCCAAAAGAAAAATTAGGGAAAATGCAAGGCTGTTGCTGAATCAGAGGGGTGTCCTGGTGATGGAAGACACAGAATATGGAATTACTGAATGCCTAATTTGCCACAGTCTTTATTTCTGAGGCTGGAGAAACGAAGACTTCCCCTTGGTCATAGAGGCTTGCGCTGGAGACCATCTAGGCAGACTTAACACTCATAAATCCATGGGCCCTGATGGGTTGCACCCAGAGGTGCTGACAGATTTTGTTGCTAAGCCAATCTCCATCATCTTTGAAAAATCATGGAGAGCAGGAGAGGTGTCCACTGACTGGAGGAAAGCCAGTGCTACTCCCATCTTCAAAAAGGACAAGAAGGAGGCCCTGGGAAGTTACTGGCCAGTCAGTCTCACCTCCATACCTGGAAAGATGATTGAACAGATCATTCTGGAGGTCCTCACCAACCATGTAAAAGAAAATGTCATTGGAAGTAGTCAGCATGGACTCACCAAGGGGAAGTCCTACTTGACCAATCTGTTAGACTTCTATGATGACATGGCAGGACAGGTCAGCAAGGGTAGAGCAGTGGATGCTGTCTGCCTTGACTTCAGCAAGGCTTTTGACACTGTCTCCTACAACATCCTTGTAGGTAAGCTGAGAATATGGGTTAAATGAATGGAGAGTGAGCTGGATCAAGAACTACCTGAATTGC